TATAACCATCTACTGATCATGTTTTCTTTGTCACAGCCACAGTTTCAAGAAATACTGTACATTCCAGCTTAAATTGAGAAGCAAATTAGATGTGCTTTAAATTTAAAAATTCATTATGAATTTAGAAGTAAAAAAGTGAACTGTTTGTGACTAGATGATCTGACCTTACAAACACAAGAATTTGAGCCGAGTTCCAAAAGTTAGAGTTTGTGTTCTCTGCGAACAGCTTTCAGGGAATTGTGCCAGAGGAGCTCTACTTAAGAGAAATTTCTCCGAGGTTCTGATTTTTTTTTAGTTTATACCTTAAACTGTGATTTCAGATGTGTTCCAGAATAAAGGCAATCACATCCAGTATTTCCTGTCTCTAAGATAGAGTCTACTGCACTGCTTTTATTTTATATTACTTGAGAATTATTTTCCTTTAGAAGGAACAGTATGATTTGCCTAAATGGAGAGTATTTTTTTTTTCTTTTTTAAAAAAGTATATCTTTGGCATTCCTCAGAGTGTTAAATATTTTATTGGCTATTGGGAGGAAAGGATTCTCTATTATGTAAATGGTACCCCAAATCTACAGATCCCAAGTTAATACTGAAGACTTTTTGTTAGTCTCTGGTGCCCTTTCTGGTAAAGATAAATGCTAAAGAAGGGGCAGTATGTGGAAATAGGAATAAAACTAAAATGACCATTTTTCTTCCAAGTTATATAACACTATAATGCTTTGTTGCAGTAATATGAGGAAACCTTATGCAGGAACTGAGCTGTGATTAATAGAAGCAAAAAGAAGTAGAAACATCATTCCTTAAACACAGCACACTCAAATAGGAAGGAAAAGTCTTTTAAATGAGAAGCAAAAAGTTGTATGGAAGCGTTGAATCATTATATTGTACACCTGAAACTAATATTACACTGTCTATTAACTAACTGGAACTTAAGTAAAAACTTTTTGAAAGTCCAAAGTGATATGAGAAGGAAATATTAATGCTAATGCCAATATCATGTGAACTGTTAATTAGAAAGTAAAGTGAAAATGGAGCATGTGACTAATAAAGTAAATACCATGAAATTCTAGGGAAAGCCTTGTTAAGCCCGACTTCTTCAGGGCTACAGCACTGAGGGGATTTTCTCATGTTTCACGAATTGACCCAAATTATCATGGAGTCAAATGATAGTGGAGTCACTATCGTGAAGGGTAGTGAAATGAATGAAGACTGAAAGAGAGCCTCATAATGCTGACGTTGTCAGATGTCCAGTCACGTGGACTTGCGAACCTGGCAAATTGCTGAAATTAGTATAGGGGGAAGAAATCTTAAGTTATAAACTAATTTAAAAATGAGAGCAATAAGCTAGGCAATGGCAGTTTTAACATATTTTAAGAACTGAACCTATGCATCCAGTTTAGTACCAGGCCCTAAGCTTCTGCCTCGAGTGTATGGCCCACCTGAATATTAAGGGCCATTATATGGAAGAGAATGACCAGCTGTTCTCTTTCTCCCCTGAGTTCCAAACAATAAGAAATGGTCATAAGCTTTGGTGTGAAGGATTTAGGCAAAGAACGAGGAAGAATGTTGTAAATTGAAGTGCATTACTGAGTGAATTTCATTCTGTGGAAGTCTTTTAAAAAGTCATTACTGTCACTCAAAACACTTACAGTCTGTCTGTGACATACATAGGTAGCCCTACAGTAAGAGATGTGAATAATTACACAACAATTAGAACGTCTTTGAGCTGGAGAGTAATCAGCCCAAACACCCAACTAACGCAAGAGAGAAGCATGAAAATACATAACCACAAAAATGAGAGAGAGAGAGAGAGAGAGAGACATGTATAGATCAACATAATGACAGCATTTAGCTAATTAAACTCTCTGGAAATGTTCTGACTGCTTTTGGAAAGCAAAGAAGTCTTCATTTTTAGCTTTGTCAGTTGACATAATTTTGAATTGAGTCTGATTCTCATTGGCATCTATGATCTATGTATACAGTTTCTGGAACAGCCTTTTCCTGGAGAAAATTTTCAAACAAACATTTGGCATCAGTGGAATATTTTTTACCACACCATCAGTAATTTTCATTGTACAGCCTTTGACTTCCAGAAGATTCAAGCTGTCTTAGAGTCTCTGAGAACCCTAGGGCATTAGATGAATGCCAGGTATATTATACTGAGAGATTAGATCCCAGGGAACTGGAATTCTGAGAACTAGGATGCCTGACTGAGATTGAACTATCTATGTATCCTGGTATAGATACAGAAAGATATTAGTGGTATTTTAGATCAGAATTTTTAGACTTCATCCAAACAACCTGTTAAAAGCCACGTTCTCTTGTACCTGTGAAACCATAGATTCAGTGTAAGAATAATGCGTTCAAGAAGATTTAGTCCTATGCAGTGGTGTGCTAATGTTTAATTCCTGGTTTTCCGGGCAAGGAGTGTGTGGTTTTGGGGGGTGGAGGATTGGAAGCAGAGGTGGTAAGCAGGTATCTGATTTGTAGCATTGGCCAATTTCTGTGATGCAAATGCCCCCAGCACGGCCAACTGTAAGCTACTAAAATGACATCAGTGAAAACAGAGTTGGGAAGAGGTTGCCTCTCGTTATTCCCGCATATGAGTGGTCCTACATCAGGTATACATAAAACACCAAAGTTCAAAAATCTCACTCTGTGTCATTCAGTGCCAATCAGCATTGTCATCATGAAGTAGAACTTCTCGCTTCCACCTTCTGGCAAATGGTCTGAAAGCATACCTTACAAACACATGGCTTCTCCATCTGAGAGCTGTGATTTTTTTTTTTAATATTTATTTATTTTTGTGAGAAAGAGAGACACAGCATGAGCAGGGGAGGGGCAGAGAGAGAGGGAGACACAGAATCTGAAGCAGGCTCCAGGCTCTGAGTTGTCAGCACAGAGCCTGACATGGGGCTTAAACTCACAAACCATTAGATCATGACCTGAGCCAAAGTCAGATGCTTAACCGACTGAGCTGCCCAGGTGCCCCGAGAGCTGTGATTTTTAAATCCTACTAAAGACTTTATTATTTAACATAAGACTCCCCTATGATACTGCTCTTTTTAGCAGTGTCACCCAGTCCTTTGTATGTTCTAATTGCTATAAACAGCAAATGAAATGTTTATAGGTCAACAGAACCAATTCTTAGGAGCAGTAAGCACAACCTTCAGAATAGAAAAATAGTTTGGGAGGCATGTTTTATTTTGGATTTTAGTATTTTTGGTGTTAAAAAGACTGATAACACACTGAGAAACAGTATCATTCAACATGAGCCTGGCTGGAAACACATTGCATAGCAGTTCAAGAATTTATTTGCTTATTTTTGGAAACAGTAGAACTATTACATTAACCTATCAGTTTGTGGTCATCTCCTTTTTTCTTTTTTTTAAGTGTCTCAGTTTTTGTTTTGTTTTGTTTTGTTTTGTTATGTTTATTTTGAGAGAGTGAGAGAGCATAGGGGAGGGGTGGGGAGAGGAGAGTGAGAGAGAATCTCAAGCAGGGTCCGTGGTGTCAGCGCAGAGCCCAGTGGAGGGCTTGAACTCAGGAATGGTGAGATCATGACCCAAGCCAAATTCAAGAATTGGAGGCTTCAACCAACTGTGCCACCCAGGTGCCCCCTCCTCCTCTCTTCATTCACTGACCTGCACATAGTTTTGTAAACCCAAGATACATGTGTCTCACCCCTTTTGTCTCTCTGTGAAAATAAGAATTGTAAAATTGTAGAACAAAATGGCATCGCCCTCCCCCGAGCCAGAATTCCCAGATGCCTCGTGTTCCTGACCGAGTAATTCATCTCCTTACGAATTCCTGTTCTTTGTATGTAAAAGACAAAGCCGTTTGGCAGAAACCCTTCTGAACGTCAGAGAGAAAGCAAATGGATTCTTAGGACACAGTCATTCCAATCATGCCATGGTTAATATTCATTCTAAACTGTTGATAACATTTAGGATGACACTTATATTGCTGTTTACAGTGAACTTTCACATGTATGTCCTTCCCATTACATAATACTGAGTAACATTATTGGTAACATGAAATGTCACTGTCCAGTCTTAGAGCCTCTGCCAATAATTAATATGTATTTATTCAATAAGTAGGTGATAGGTGCTTTCTGTGGTGAGCCATTATGGAGTCTGTCAAGATGAATTAAGACCAGTCCATTAGTATTTGACTTAAACTGGGCAGGGGTTAGAAATGCTTGCATGTATTTAAACTATATGAAATTCTTATTTTCTGTCATCACTGGGAGAGAATTTAAGCTCAAATAGGTCATCACCATGGCCCTAATAAAATTTTTGTTGTTGCTAGGTTGGTTGGTTTGGTTGTTTTTTTTTTTTTTTTTTTTTGGATAATTGTTTAATATAAACAATAATTCAATCACAGTTGACAAACACATGAATAAGTCAGTGAACTGTATGTGCCTGCCACGCATCTAAGGTCATTCCCAAGATATACTTCTTCAGTGAATTTTTCCCTGACAGTAACAGTTAATGACAGTGTGACCCCAATCATCTTAATTGCTGAGAGTTAGCACAGTTATTCTGCATTGCTATTGGCTGATGAATCAGATTCATTGGCTGGTTCTGACAGGGCTGACATAACATGTCACTGACAAAGTGACAGTTCTAGAAGAGGACAGGAAGAAGTATGAGGAGGGAAGCAAACGTTCGTCAGTACACTAAGACAAACTAGCACAACAACACAATCTGTGCTGAAGCAGGAAATGAAAAAACACACAGAGGGCCTCCTGATCATTTGCCTTAACATCATTTTTTTTTTTAATTTTTTTTTCAACATTTATTTATTTTTGGGACAGAGAGAGACCGAGCATGAACGGGGGAGGGGCAGAGAGAGAGGGAGACACAGAATCGGAAACAGGCTCCAGGCTCCGAGCCATCAGCCCAGAGCCTGACGCGGGGCTCGAACTCATGGACCGCGAGATCGTGACCTGGCTGAAGTCGGACGCTTAACCGACTGCGCCACCCAGGCGCCCCTAACATCACATTTTTATTCTCTCATATTCAGAAGAAAAAAATAGTGGTAGAATGATATTTCTGAATCTGTCATTTATAAATTGTAGTTTGGGAGAAATTGAAATAAGTTACATGGGGGTGAGGAAGAGACAAGTGAGATCTTAATAATTAAATATTAAGTTGGGGTGGGCCAGGGGGAAGCATCAGAAGGTGAGTAGAAATACAGAAGTAAATTGGGTGTTTCCACCAAATACCAAGCCATATATCTAAGGAGAGACCATCACTTCTTATTCACGATGTAATTAAGTGGAACCATGTGAAACTGCTGATAGTCAACCATCTTTGACCTACAAAAATGGTCATGGGTGTGGTTTGACCTATAAACTATTGGAAACAAGGTATATTTGTAAAATATATTTTAAAAAGCACACTAAATTATCCCATGGCTTGTTACAGAGAACAAGAAAAACAATAATCAAAAAAAAAGTTTTTTAAAAACACTATAGTCAACTCCTTAACGTCAAATACCTATGGGTTTTTAATACAAAATACTCTATATGCTTGGGGATGATGTTTGCAAGGGTTTTTTTGGAAAGAAAATAAGCTAGTTAAGAAGGCATTTTCTATTAGCTCCAAAGGAATGTAACACCAGGCAGTTTTTTTCATTTTTAAGGATCTGAAGGACGCTAACTATAGGAAAGATCAAGAACAGCCACGTGCTGGTGAGTACTAGCCAGTGTTTCTGCACTGACAGTGTAAAACGTCCTCAGCTGTGGAGTCTCCCACCCACGATGTAACTTTGACCTATGTTGCTGTCCACAGGTCCTCCACCACCCTATAGCAAGCAGTCCATGGATGTCTGCAAGCAAGCATTGGGGCCTGGCTGTGCCATCCTTACCCTGGCCCACCCCTGGGCACAAGTGGGATGTGGACTCTGAACAGAACCACCAGTGTATTATTTCTGCCACTTCTCATCCATCATTTCTGGGTCATTTGAGACCAGCTTTCTGTGTTTGCTAACAGATCTTAATATATATATAGGAATATCATACATATATATATATACACACATATATATCATCCAGCCTTATAAAGGAGACTCTGCCATTTGCAACGACACAGATGAACCCGAAGAGGACATTATGCCAAGTGAAATAAGCCAGACACAGAAAAATACTGCATGATCTTAGTTACATGTGGAGCCTAGAATAGTAAGCCCACTGGTTACCACGTGGGGAAAATAGGGAGATGTTGGTTAAAGGATATAAAATTGCAGTCTACAGGATGAATGAGGAAAGCTAATGTACAACATTATGACTGTAACTAGTAATACTGTATTGAAAACGAAATCTAAGAAAATAGATTTCACGTGCTCTGACCACACAACACACACAGGTAACTGTAGGAGGAGATGGATATGTTAATTTGCTTGACTCTAGTATCCTATCATTATGTATATCAAAACACCAAGTTGTACATCTTAAATATATACAATTAAATGATAAAACAGGAACAATGTTTTTAGCCTTGAAACTGAAGTTTGAGCAGGGCTCAGTAGGGAAGCACTCTTCCTTCTCCCAGTTAGTGTTAACTAGGGCTGCTCAGTGTTGAATCTACAGAAGGCTCATTCACTCATGTGTCTGGTGGTTAATACTAGCTGTCAGCTTTAGCTGGGCTGTTGCCTTGAACATCATCATGTAGACTCTCCATATGTTCTGGGCATTCTTCCAAAATGGTGGCTCTCACCATTTATCACTCACGCCAAGTTTAATTGTCTCAAGAAAGAGCTGGGTGGAAACCATCACCTTTTCTCCTTACTCTGCAGCTTAGCAAGTAGCCTTGAAAATAACAACCCACATTCTAGGTACCTCAGGGAGCAGAGTGGACTCCATTCACAAAGAATTGTCATTACTTGAACTGTCTGGTGGCTCTGTGGGAAAACAAATAGAAGCTTTACCTGTTTGTACCTCAGAATTCCTCCAGTGCTACAGCTGCTGCACAGGTGGGGTTTGTTGAAATATTTACAGGGAAATATTTTAGTTGCTGCTGCAAGGGGTGATAACAGGGCAAACAGTATATTGATGAAAAAGCTTGTAAGAAAAGACAGAAATACAGTGTCCATAAAGGCTTTGAAAAGTTCTTGACATGGAAATTTAGAAGGCCACACACATGCACAGGGCTGTGTGCATGCTTAGGAAGGCCCAAGAAGGCCCTAAGCTATCCCCTCTGGCTGACCTTGAGGCTCTATAAAAGCAGAAAGTGAAACCTAAGGCACAGTTGTAAACTGCCTGATTGAGTACTGAAGGTATGCCTCAACCCACACATCAAGCCCCTTGGCAAAAGCCAGTATTTTGTGGGTTCCAGGCATTTAAGGAAATCTCTGTGCGATTAACTGATCACTAAGCCAACTAAGAAATTGCAGTGGTTTCACATAGGAAGGGATACAGCTTTACAGGATTAGTTCGGAAAAGTCACTAAATAACAGACCCTAAGATGAGAGAAAGAAACCCAGGTTTGCCACATAATAATATATCCATTTCTCTAAAAACAGTGCATGCTATGAAACAAAGTATGACTCCTCAAAACAAAACAAAATAGCCAATAGGAAGTGTCCAGGAAAAGCCCAGGTATTGGACTTTGTAGACAAAAGTCTCAAATCAGCTATTTTTTTTTTTAAATGTTTATTCATTTTTGAGAGGGAGAGCACAAGCAGGGGAGGGGCAGAGAGGGAGAGAGACACAGAATCTGAAGCAGGCTCCAGGCTCTGAGCTGTCAGCACAGAGCCTGGTGTAGGGCTTGAACCCACGAGCCATGAAATCATGACTTGAGCTGACTGATAAGATGCTCAACTGACTGGGCCACCCAGGCACCCCATTTTTTTTAATGTTTATTTAAAATTTTTGAGAGTGCCCAAGTGGGGTAGGGGCAGAGAGAATCCCAAGAAGGCTCCTTGCTGTCAGTGCAGAGCCCGAAGCGGGACTCCATCTCATGAACTGTGAAATGATGACCTGAGCCAGTATCCAGAGTCGGACGCTTAATCAACTGAGCCACCCAGACACCCCTCAAGTCAGCAATATTAAAAATGTTCAAAGGAAGTCCCATTTAAAGAACTAAAGTATCAGAATAATGTCTCACAAATAGAGAGTATTAATACATAGAAATTATAAGTAAATGGAAATTTTAAAGTTGGAGAGCGTAATAAATGAAAAATCCACTTGAATGGCTCAACAGATTTAAGCTAGAAGAATGAATCAAAGATTCAATAGAAATCAGTAATAGAAGGAAAGTTGGGAAATTCACAAATATGTGGAAATAAACACATTTCTAAATAACCAATTTACACAAAACTGTAAAGGAAATTATAAAATACTTTGAGATCTACAGAAATGAACACAATATAAATATGGGATGCAACCAAAGTGGTAAGTAGTAAAAGGTAAGTGTATAGGCACACCTGGCTGGCTCAGTCGGTAGAACATGTGACTCTTGATCTTGGGGTCATGGGTTCAGGCCCCACATTGGGCATAAAGTGTTTGCCTTTTATTTTTTATTTTTTTTAATATTTTATTTCTGAGACAGAGACAGAGCATGAGTGGGAGAGGGGCAGAGAGAGAGGGAGACACAGAATCAGAAGCAGTCTCCAGGCTCTGAACGGTCAGCTCAGAGCCCAGCACAGGGCTCGAACTCACAAACTGTGAGATCGTGACCTGAGGCGAAGTCAGTCACTCAACCGGACCACCCAGGTGCCCCAAGTTTTTGCCTTTTAAAAAGAGGCAAATGGATAGCTGTACATGCCTACATTTAAAAAGAAGAAAGATCTCAAATCAATACCTATCTTAAACTAGAAAAAGGAAAACCAAACCCAAAACAGGCATAAGGAAATAATGAAGATAATAAAATAGATGACAGAAATACAATAGAGAAAATGAACATAACTAAAAGATCTTTCAAAAAATCAACAAACGGCAAAACTCTAAATAGATTAAGAAAAAAAGGCTGAAACTACTGAAATCAGAAATGAGAGGACATTACTACTGACCTTACATAAGTAAAAAGGATGATAGAGAGATACTATGGACAATTACATGCCAACAAATTAGATAATTGGATGAAATAGATTAACTCCTAGAAGTACTTAACAGCCAAAACTGATATAAGAAGAAATAGAACACTTGAATAAACCTGAATACAAGAAAAGAGATTAAATTAGTAATCAAAAACCACCTAATACAGAAAAGCCCAGGACTAGAATTCACTGGTGAATTCTTCCAAACATTTATAAATGAAAAAAAAATTTTTTTTAATTTTATTTATTTTGAGAGAGTGCTAGCAGGGGAGGGGTGGAGAGAGGGAGAGAGAGACTCTCAAGCAGGTTCTGCACTGTCAGCGCAGAGCAGAGCCCAATGCAAAGTTCAATCCCACAACCCTGATGTCATGACCTGAGCCTAAATCAAGAGTCAGACACTTAATTGACTGAGCCACCCATGTACCTGAGAATTCTTCCAAACATTTAAAGGAGAACTAGCACCAATCCTCAAAACTTCCAAAAAACAGGAGAGAAAATGTAATTCATTCTATGAGTCCAGTATTACCCTGAAACCAAGGCCAAAGACATCATAAAGGAAAGCTATAGACCAAATCTGTTATGATGTTAAAAATATGCAACAAACTACTTGCCCAATTGGAATTTATCCCAGGAATGGAAAGTTGATTCAAAATATGAAAATTATGTATTACACCATATTAATAAACTGAAGGGGAAAAACATCATCTCAATTGATGCAGAAAGAGCATTTGGCAAAATCCAAAATCCTTCCGTATAATATAAATAGATGTAAATTATGACACTAAGAGCATGTAGTTGGGGGGGGAGGGGAGGAGAGGTAGAAGTATAGTTTTTATATGCAAATGAAGGGAACAGCTTAAAATAGACTATTATAAATATGTTTTATGTAAGCCCCATGGTAACAATAAAGATACCCCTAGGAGTTACACAAAAGGAAAAGAATCAAAGTCTATCAATCCAGAAAAAGAAGGGGGAAAAAAAAAAAAGGACAGCAAGGAGAAAAAGGATAAAAGAACTACAAGACAAAACAGTTAAAATGGCAAAAGTAAGTCCTCTATCAATAATTACTTTAAATGTGAATGGATTAAATTTCCCAACCAAAAGACAGTGGCTGAACGGATTAAAAACAAACAAAAACCTAGATCCAACTATATGTTGTTTACAAGAAACTTAACATTAGGACACTCATAAGCTGAAAGTGAAGGGATGGAAAAAAATTAACTCTCAGCTAGACTAAGAAAAAGAGGAAACTCAAGTAAAACCAGAAATGAAATCACAGTGGATGTCTCCACAGTAAAAAGAGACTATTACATACAATTATATGTCCATAAGTTGGATATCCTAGAAGAAATGGATAAGTTCTTAGAAACATACAACCTAACAAGCCTTGATCAAGAAAAAACAGCCTGAATAGACCAATAACAAACATGGAGACTGAAACAGTAATCAAAAACCTACAATAAAAGAAAACCAAGATGGCTTCAAGAGGAATTCTAACAAACATTCAACAAATACCAATTCTTCTTAAACTCTTACAAAAAGAAGAGGGAACACTTCCAAACTCATTTTATTAAGGCAGCATCACAGTGATACCAAAGTCAGACAAAAACACTGCAAGAAAAGAAAACTTTAGGTCAATATCTCTAATGAATATAGATGCAAAAATACCCAACAAAATCTAGCAAACTGAATTCAATAGCACATCAAAAGATCATTCACCATGATCAAGTGAGATTTATCTTTGGGATATGAGGATGGCTCAACTTAACAAATAAGAAAATATGATACAAAACAGAATGAAAGACAAAACCCACATCATCTCACTGGATACAGAAAAAGCAAGAATTACAAAGCTGGAGCTATCATACCCCCTGATTTCAATATATATTACAAAGCAATGGTAATCAAAACAGTTTGGTATTGGCATAAAAACAGACATATAGGCCACTGGAAGAGAATAGAGAGCCCAGAAATAAATCCACATGTTTATGGTCAACTAGTCTTCAACAAGGGTGCCAAGTAAGCACTATGTTCCCAGGAAAGGAAGGTGCTTCTTGCATTTTACCTATGTTATCTTCCAGTAGTTTTATAGTTTCAGGCCTTACATTTAAGTCTTTAACCTATTTTGAGTTGATTTTTGTATGTGGTGTGAGATGTCCGATTCCATCCTTCTACATATGGATATTGTTTTTCCAACACCATTTATTGAAGAGACCTTCCCACTTACGTATTTTTGCTTTTGTTGCCAGTGTTTTTGGTGTTTTGTAGTCAAGTGGGATTGCATCTAACTAAAATGCTACAGAGCAAAGGAAACAGTCAACAGAGTGAAAACGCAGCCTATAAAATGGGAAAAAATATTTGCAAATCATTTATCTGATAAAGGTTTAGTAAGGGTTCAATAAGGAACTCCTACAACTCCATGGGAAACAAAAAACAAAACAAAATTATTTTTAAAAATGGGCAAATGACCAGAATAGGCATCTCTCAAACGAAAACATACAAACATAAATGGCCCAAAGGTACTTGAAAAGGTGCTCAACATCCCTAACCAGCTGGAAATGCAAATCAAAACCACTAATCTCTAATGAGATTAGAATGGCTATTATCAAAAAGACGAGGTAACAAATGTTGGCAAGGATGTAGAGAAAAGGGAATCCTTGTATCCTGTTGGTGGGAATGTAAGTTAGTACAGCCATTATGAAAAACAGTATGAAGGTTCCTTTAAAAATTAAAAATAGATCTACCATATGATATGGCAACCCATATTCTGGGTATATATCCAAAGAAAATGAAATCGGTATCTCAAAGATATCTGCACTTCCATGTTTATTGCAGCATCATTCACAATAGCCAAGATATGGAAATGTGTCTCTCAACTAACTGGATAGTCACACACACACGCACACACACACACACACACACACACACACACACACACACTGGAATATTATTCAGTCTTAAAAAGGGGCGGGTGGGTGCCTAGAGGGCTCAGCCGGTTAAGGGTGCAACTCTTGATTTTGGCTCAGGTTATGATCTTATAGTTTGTGAGTTCAAACCCTGCATCAGGCTCCACATTGCCCTATTCTCTCCCTCTCTCCCTACCCCCTGTCTGCCCCTCCCCAATTTGTGCATTCTCTCTCTCAAAATAAACTTTAAAAAAGAACAAAGTCTTAAAAAAAGAAAAGAAGAAAGAAAGAAACCCTGCCATTTGCAAAAACATAGATGAAACTGGAGGACATTATGCCAAGTGAAATAAGCCAGACACAGAAAGACAAATACAGCATGGTCTCACTCTTCTATGTGAAATATAAAACTGTTGAGCTCATAGAAGCAGAGAATAGAAGCATGGTTGCCAGAGGGTAGAATGGTGGGAGGAGTGGGGGGAAATGGGGAGATGTTGGTACAAAGTTTCAGTTATGTAAGATGAATAAATTCTAATGTACAATATGGTGACTGCAGTCAAAAACGCTGTACTGTGTATCCGAAATTGGTTAATAGAGTAAATCTTAAATGTTCTCACCACACACAC